TATAAACAACCATCCTTCAGATGCAAGCTCTGTCATTGCGCCCAGTATGCCTTAGCTATCGGCCTTTCACCTGCCATTTCCTGCCATTCCGGCCGAACGCCTCGCTCTTTACTTTCCATTATATTGGAGAGGTCTGCATCGTTCTGCTGTTCTTTTTGTATCTGCTCATTGGTCCAGGACTCCTCTGGAAGAGCATTAATCAGACGTATATCCACAATGTGTTCTTTATTTTCGACCCGTAAACAATGTTTGCACTCGAGGCCACAAGGGCGACGTGATAATGCATCAGCGTTTCCATGATGGCTTCCTTTACGATGTTCAATAGTAAGGTCGTAACTTTGTAAACGTTCAATCCACCGCGCCAGCTGACCTTCCGGTTCTTTAAACCGCAGCAACCATTTAAGTGCTGCATGGTCAGTTCTGAGGAGGAATTTCTGGCCGTATAAGTACTTGTGGAAATGCTTCACACATACCATTATCGCAAGTAACTCCTTTCGTGTGACACAGTAGTTCTTTTCTGGCTTAGACAAGATTTTGCTGTGGTACGCTATCACTTTTTCTTGCCCATCCGTTATTTGAGACAACACTGCGCCTATTCCAGAGCCACTCGCATCTGTGTCCAATATAAAGGTTTTCCCAGGTATTGGATACGCCAAAACTGATGCTGCACAGAGTCGTTCCTTAAGCTGTTCAAAAGCTTCATTTTCTTCATCACCCCATTTGAAAGATTGGTTCTTTTTAGTTAATTCGTATAGACTACTGGCAATATTCGCGAAGCCAGGAACGAATCGTCTGTAATAGGTACAGAGCCCCAGGAAACTTCTAAGATCATGCAAATTTGTTGGTTGTGGCCACTCCTTCACTGCTGCAATTTTCTCATCATCAGTATGTACGCCTTCTGGGGTTACTTTGTGACCAAGATATTTGATTTCACGTTTGAAAAGTGAGCACTTCTTTGAATTCAGCTTTAAACCAGCAGCTTGTATTCGCTCGAATACTTCTTTTAACTTTTCTAGGTGATTGTCGAAGTCTTTACCCATTACAATTATATCGTCAAGGTAGACTAAACAAGATTTCCAGGTTAGTCCTTTTAAGACGCGCTCCATGAGACGTTCAAAAGTGGCCGGAGCATTGCAGAGTCCAAACGGCATAACCGTGAATTGCCACAAACCATCACCGACTTAGTGTCGGTGATGGTTTGCAGTCTTCTCTTTGTCTTCATCTTTAAGTTCTACCTGCCAATAGCCGCTTCGTAGATCAAGAGTTGAGAACCATTGTGCGCCAGATAAAGTGTCGAGAGTATCGTCGATTCTTGGTAGTGGATAGCTGTCTTTCTTTGTAACATCATTCAGCTTACGATAATCTACGCAGAACCGTGTACTTCCATCTTTCTTCTTTACAAGTACTACCGGCGAACTCCATGGACTTGCCGATGACTCAATAACACCTTCTTTTTGCATACCCGCAACTAGACTGGTTACCTCATCTCTTTTTGCCAGTGGAACTCTTCGAGGCGCCTGACGAATTGGTTTAGAATCACCAGTGTCAATTTCGTGTTTTGCAATAGAAGTTCTTCCCTTGAGCGCAAAAATTGACCAATTCTTCCGTATGACCTGCATCGCCTTTCTTTTCTGACGTGCATTGAGTTCCTTAGTCCAACTTAGCACTTGCGCCATTGTTTCCTCCTTTTCTGCAATGGTTTCTTTTTTCATTACTTCGGAATTTTCACTACAATTAACCACAGCTGAAACCTCTTGACATTCACCAATTATTGCCCCTTTTTTTATAAACTTTGGTGTACCAGATAAATTCAAGAGTCGGACAGGTATGCTACCATCTACTTTTGGCTCTACTAATGTTTTCCCCAGTAAGATGTCGTTCATTCGGATTTTTCTTACGGCTTTAACGACCCACAACTTACTTGTCCTTTCCCCTCCATTTATTTTTGCCCATACGATCGCTTCTGAATTCGCTGGTATTTTCTGATTTTGACACAACCGGATCTGTCTTACACTGCTACTGCGCTGATATCCAGTATTTAGTGGACATTCGATATCCATGTATCGTAACATTTTTCTACTTAAGTCCAGTGTAATTCCATGCGTGATCATAAAATCTATACCAATAATCACGTCATCGGTGATATCGGCGACCATGAATTCATGTTGAAATTCATAGCCACCTAAAGTGATTCGTTTCATGACCTTTCCTAGTATTGGCGCCTCTTCACCCATTGCTGTTCGAAATTTTAGACCAGCCAATGATGTACAATTCTCTTCTAGGCCTCCTTTTATTATCGAATGTGAAGCACCAGTGTCCAAAGTCAAAATAAACGGCATATTGTTAATTTTTCCATCGATGGTTAGGCTGTTGGATACCCGCTTTAACTGTGAGACGAGGATGATGGAGCAATCATTTACTGAAGTCAGTTCATGCCCCTTCGAACTGACTCTCGCTAGTTTAACGACGGCTTATTAGCCCCGTTAGAATTACTATAGTGATGTTTCTTTTCCGATGGAGAGCTTGATCGTGACCGTTTCCGACGTTGACGACAGTCTCGCGCCATATGTTCAAGTCTTTCGCAGACAAAACATCTTCCATTAAACTTGTTGCCATTTCTAACTAAGGCAACTTTCATCTGACGAATTACTTCTACCAGGTCATCCGCATATTTTCCGTATTTTTGCTGTAGGACGACACATAATACCGGCAGCTTCGTACGTCAATGCACAGCTGACTGTTTCAGAGTATATCTTCTTCGGGAACATTACGACCTGTCGCTTGGTTTCCGGATCACGTATTCCGTCTATGAAACTGTCAATTTTACTCTTCTCCATGAAATCACTAGAGTTACCAACGTATGCCAAATTACACAAACGTTCAATATCAGCAGAGTATTCTTGAAGACTCTCCCCAACACGCTGGACTCTAGCTTTCAGTTCTACTCTGTGCAATGGAGTCATAAAATCGTTACCATATTTACGCTTCAATGTGTCCATTACCACTTGATAGCTTTAACGTTCCTCGGGTGGAATTTGCTGTAAAACATCTGCCGCATTACCTTTTAATGCCACAATTAGAGCTGCTGTTTTCTCATCAACAGTCCAATGATTTGTTGCAGCTGTTGTTTCAAATTGTAGTTTGAAGACTTCAAAGGTTACGCTTCCATCAAACGTCGGTGGTTTTAGTTTAACGCCACCAATTTTACGAACAATGGCTGAAGTCGACCCACTTAGTTGCATATTTTCAACTTGGCTTTTCAACTGAGCCATCTCATCTTTTAAGATCTGGACATTCTGATTAGTCTGGTCTATTCTCTTCGAGCATCTTTCCTGGACCTGTTGCAACTCAATCTTTAATTCGGCAGAATTTTGTTCTAATTTCTGTGATTTCATCAGACTTTTGTTCCAACTTACGTAAACCGTGCGCCTGTTCCTCTGAATTTTTCTCAAGGTTCTCCATCATTAGGTTCATGATTGCCATAATTTCACTATTCTTGTCAGGTTTTTCATCGAGGAACTCGTGTTCTTCTACATTTATGCCATTAGCCTCCAACGCCTCACGAAATCTCAATTGCAGTTCTGTTTTCGCACCACCTGTGCCAAGTCCCACTTTCTCCAACTGTTTTTTTAGTTGAACCACAGTTAATTCTTCCAATTTCACCATTTTTATAAAATCCCACTTCTGACACCAAATGTTACGTAATCGTCTGCGTGATTATTCGTATCTCAGGATTTTATAAAAATAAAACGAACTTTAAAAATTGGGAAAAAACTGTACTTATTATATTTGTTGTAATGAAAAGAACTAGTATTTACTAGGAGCCAATTTAGCTTCACTCAAAACAAATTTCAACACGAACTTCTTTCCTTAAAAATATCCATTGACATAATGTTTAAATAATATTTAAACATTTCATTGCTACTCTGATGAAATTCGTAACAATATAATAAAAAATAAAAACATTCAAAAACAAAACAAGAAAGCACAATTAAAATCAATTAAAAAACAAAAAAAATTATGATAAACAGACAAAAAAGTTTTGATAAGAAACGTCAAATAATGGATACTGAAATCGCCAATATTATTAAAAGACAGGAAGAGACGATAAATGAACTTAAACAACAACTGCAACAATAACTTCAACAACAACAGTTTTAACAGCAGCTACAACAACAGCTTCAACAGCAGCAGCCACAAGAACAACATCAGCAGGTACAACATATAGTTCTCAGTGATGACAAAATTATCAGCCATTTTCCTCACATTAAGCCATTTAGCGGGGCGAAAGATAACAATCTTCTCGCTTTTATTAACGCAGTAGATAGAGCTTTTCTGTTATGTAACAATAATCCCCATTTGAAGGAGTTTGTAACCCAAATAGCGAGAAATTTAATGGCGACGCTGGAAGATGTGTTCAACAACTGAGATAAAACAGCAATTGGAATGAAGTGAAGCAGCGTTTGAAGCAGACATTTCAACCACAGCAAACTTATGCACAAGTCTACAACAGATGCCAGGAAATTAAGGTTAGGAATTTAAAAGAACTTTTTGACTTTTTTCTAAGTTCAAGTTATAAACTAAATGAAATTTAGGAATTTGATGTAACAAAACCTTCTGTTTATAAACCTGAAAATGTATAAGCAATTCTGCTTATAATAGTCACTTGAGGGTAGTTCCTAAAAAAGTTGACAAGTCCGGTTCCCAAAAATGGCGAATTGTTGTTTATTACCGAAGAATAAATGAGGTTATGGTGAGCACCAAATTTCCAATTCCAAATATTGATGGAATTATGGACAAACTTGGTTAGGCTCAATATTTTTCTTTTATTGATCTTGCCAAAGGCTTTCATCAAATTTTGATGGACGAAAATGACAGAAAAAAAACTGAATATTCTACCATATTTTACATATACTTTTCACACTAAAAATTTTTTTTAATAATTTACATTACGTATTCAGAAACCTAGTAAAATTGGTATCAAAAACTACCATACTTACTGTTCTGTAGGCTGGACTACAAGAAATGCTGGCGTAGGTACTTGCTCCTGGTCCTTTGAAATATTTAGCACATCATAATCGCATTCATCTTCAAACCAACTTGGCGATTCCAAGAGAAGTGATATATCGAATTCTTGGACTTCTCTTGGATTAGCTATAGCAATTATGCCGGAATTGTCATTGTTTAAGCAAAAAGCAAATATCGATTCATGGTCTTTATGTATAATTCGTATAGGCTCACATTCATTTACTACAGTCAAGGATTCTAAACAATTGAAAAAATAATTTAAGTTATCACATCAATTAAAAATAAAAGAAAATTTACCTGCGTCAGTACCATTGTCGAAAACTTTATATCTTGCTTGTTTATCGATATTCTTTCGGAATATAATTTTTATAAATATATCTTGAACGTATTCTTCCCGAACCAACAAATTCCATAAACGACGAATAGGGCCAGCAGAAGAATTTGATACAAATGGTGTATTTTGTGTATTCAATAAAGTTTTGTATTTATGAATTTCTAAATTATGTATGCTATCTTCTACAAAGCAGCCTGTAATAAAGAAATATTTGTTATAAATATTAATATTGAGTTATTTTAAGGAAATTATTACTAAAGTGATAAAATTGTTTATAAAATAGTTTTTGCTCAAACACAATTTGAAATACTATATTATGCACCTTATACATTAGTCGGCATAAGTATTTTGACAAAACTTTTTTCTGACTACTAAATTTAGTTTTGCTTAGTTCCGTTAAATAATTATATTGTTTACCGTTAGCATTTTCTTTATGCTGCTAAGAATGCATGCAGACAACGAATTTTTGTGTGGCATAAGTATTTTGACAAAATCATTGAGTAAATGTTTTTTAATTTTGAGCACGTGAAAAGAAAAAAAAATTATATTTAATTTTGTCATGAATTTGTTCGAGTCGAGTCGAACGGACGTGTTTTATTTAAGCTCGAAGAAACTTACAGTGAAAATAGAGTTCCTTGACTGCAAATCATTCCAAAAAAGCCACCTGGCGCTTGCCTAGAGTCGTCCTTTGTCGGTGAGCCACTTGAGTCGGCGGTCGGTGTGCCAAAAATTGTAATATTGGTAAAAAAAACAAACAAAATCCGAATAAAAATCACTCAAATTTAAACAATAAAAACAAAAGTGTTGAAATTTGCAAACTGCGGATGTAAACAAAACGTAATAGGTGAATGGCAGCTGTAGATCTACATTATCGACACATAGCAAAAAGTGCTGTTGTTGACAGAACCAAAGAGCTTCGACCATCACCAATCATTATTAATGGTTTTACTGAATTCAAAACATTGCATGCTCAACTTATTGCAACCATAACAAACAAATTTTTCGTGACAACAATAAATAATGGATCATATAGAGTCACTACTTTTGATTCTATTGACTAACGATCTGTAACAAAACAATAAACAATGAAATGAAAAGCATTTAACACAATTGTAAAAATAGAACCGGTAAAATCGTCAAACTTAATACCTCAGTGGAAAAAGTGTCAATCTTTTGGACACACAGAAAATTTCTGAGGTAATCCTCCTAAATACGTAAAATGCGCAGGCAAACACTTAACCTCTGAGTGCCAAAAGCCGGTATCAGATAAACCTAAATGATGCAATTGCGGAGAACCGAACCCTGCAAACTATCGCGGCCGCATTGTCGCGCAAGAACCACAAAAAATAAGATCTAAAAAAATTAATGACAAATCTAAAACTCTCAGTGATAATCAACCAACTGCAAACAAAAATTAGCCTGCTACAGTGGAACCACCTACAAAGCCCAAAGTAACTACCTACGCACAAATAGCAAACGCACTTATTCGAAATGCTGTCACACAAAACATAGACGCGCTCTCGAAAATCTTGTTAAAACTAGAACAACAGGAGAAGGTATTTAACGCATTCGATCTGTGGTGTGGTGCTCTAGAGCATAATATGCAGTTTTTAGACTATGACTAATCACTTAAAACTTATTTTATGGAACGCAAACGGTTTAATCAAACACAAAATTGAACAAGAAATATTGCTTAATAATGAAAAAATTGATATTGTCTTGATTGCTGAGACTCATTTTACAAAACAATCTTATATCAACTTCAAACACTTCTCCCTACCCGGAAAATTGTGCAAGGAGTGGCAGCGCTGTAATAATAAAAAATACCATCAAGCATCATTTAAATGAACAAATCAGTACGCAGGAATTTCAAACTACATTCGTTTCCGTCTTTGTCTATAAAAATGTTCCTACTGCTCTTTTAGCTATCACGAAAGGTTTTGACCTGAGCTCCGACCATTCGCTAGTGCAGCTAATAATATCGCAAGATGCAGAACAAATCCAAAGCTCATTAAAGTAGGTGAATTTTCTCACCGACTTGAAGTACTTTCAGACGCAGCTACAACTATTAACCACATACAATAATATCGCTATCAGTGAGCAGCTCAATGATGCAGTACTTGCCTTAACTCAACAACTTCAACAGGCAACCTGGAGTAGTACATGCCCAAACTTGTTTCCCATGGAAAGAAAATCCGCACTTTATCATGGAGTTAATTGCACTAAAGCGAAAACTACGCAAACGCTGGCAACAAATCAGATCTCCAGAAATCAAATCAAAATTTAACTTAGCATATAAACAGCTACATTCAGAAATAAAATCATACAAAAACATCAAATTCAACCAGCATCTGCTCGGTCTCACAGCCGATAAGAAAACTAAGTATTCTTTATGGAAGACCGCCAAATTTTTCAACAAAACAATAAAACACATCGGTCCGATCAAAATAAATGACACGCAGTAGGCAAAAACAAGTCAAAAAAGGCGAAATTATTTGCATAGCACCTAGAAAAGACTTTCAGCAGACAAGCGAAAATAAACACAACAATGAAATAAATATAACTCCAGTTACACTTAAAGGCAGTTATAAACGAAATACACAAAATGAAATTCAAAAAATCTCTTGGATTCGATTTAATCACGGCTGAAGTCCTGTGCCACCTGCTAAAAAATTGTATCGACTATCTGGCCAATTTGCTCAATACATGCTTTCGCATCAGGTATATTCCCATATACTGGAAATTCGCTGAGGTCATCATGATACCCAAACATGGCAAACTGCCAAACGAGATAACCTCATACAGGCCAATATCTCTACTACTGGTCCTAAGCTAATCGGAAAACTGCTCCTGACGCGAAACCACCAGCTTGGTTTTAGGGAAATCACTCAATAATTGACTAACTGCATAGAGTTGTTAGCACCATAGAAAAAGCGATGGAAGAGAAAAAAGTATGTTATGTCGTATTCTTCGATGTGTCACAAGCTTTCGACAAGGTATAGCATGCAGATTTGCTTCAAAAATTGAAAATCTTGCTACCTACAAAGTACTATGAAGTGCTTTTATCATACCTTGATGACCGATATTTTAACGTCAAATACGAAAACTCTTTTTCACCTTTATAAAAAATAACCGCTGGAGTACCACAAGGAAGTATTCTGGGCCACTATTATATCTCCTATACACACACGATCTTCCATCAGCAGACTAGCACCTAACCGCTACTTTTGCCGATGATACTGCAATATTGGCAATAGACAGCACTATTGAAACTGCAACGGCCAAACTACAGGAGGCCGTCAACCACATTGATTCATGGGCCAAGAAATGGAGAATAAAGTTAAATAAAACCAAATCAGTGCACTTAGTTTTTTGTTTAAAAAAGACTTCTACAAACCAGTATACGTTGACACCGCTGTAATCCCATACACCGATGAAGTCAAATACCATGGTATTACATTCGACACCAAATTGCGCTGGAAGGTTCATGTCAAGAAAAACACAAAAACTCCTCTTATACAAACATACCCTAAAGCCAATCTGGACTTACAGCTTACAGTTCTGGGGGTGCGCCAGCAAAAGGCATATTGCTACTGTTCACGCTACTCACGCACTTGTAACCCAAACTAATTGAAACTTAAAAAACAATATTAAAGGTAACATTTCTCTCTATGCAAAATTACCGTATGCAGTAAGCAAGGTTGACGAGAATCAACATTGAGTTGCATATTAACAAAATAACGTGAGCAGTACGCATATAAATTTAAATAAATGTAATACAGTACAAAATATAATATAAAAATAATATAATATATATACATAAAAAACATAATAATGTAAATCTGAATATTATCTTAATCTTAATATATTAATAAACAGCTACTATTCAACAAGGTACTCCGAAATATTTGAAATGCGCCATCTGAAGAGTCGAAGAAATGTGCAATGGCACACAAACAGCGCCTGCAATGTCACGTTAACGTTGCAGCATCTAGTCTTTTCCCGGCGAATCCTCTTCGAAAACGGTTAAAGCGAAAAACTGTAGCCGAACTTATGGAAATAAATTAGCACTTACTTTATTTTTCATGTATGATTCTCTTTGAGCCTGTATCTTAAATATTTAATGTTTGTTCTCTTAATTATGTAACTCCAACCAAATTGCTTGTTAGTATCATTTTAATTTTATACTAGTTGCAATATCATAACGCTTCTGTGCAACTTTCTAAGATTCGTTAAAAAAAAAATTTAATTTTAATTAATATTAAACGGTGATAAAAAAATATTAATTTATTATAAATTATTAAAAACCATGTGCAAAACGGCTGAGTTGAGTTTGGTTATCAGATTTTCAATGGTAGCATTACTGGCTGTAACGGCAGTAAAATATATAGCAAAGGAGTTTAAAATGTTGCGTCAAATTATTTACTATCAAATTAATAATGTTAAAAAGCATAACAACATAAGAAACTTAACGAGATCAGGTGCTAAACATAAAATAACGTCCACTGATGACCAAGTCCTTCTAATCTGCTGCAGATAAGTGGAATTTGATGGCCAAGAATCCAATAAGTTAGCACACTGTCCAACGACGTTTAACGAAAGGAAATTTTAAAACAATAAAAGCTAAGGACGTGCTGTACATATCAAAGCAAACAAGCTTAAAAGACTGGCCTTCGTTAAGGAACATCTGTACAAGCTAAAAGAGATTTAGAGTGGCCTTATATGGCATACGTAAGAAAAATCGCGAATTTTTTAGTTTAATTTTGAAATGGCTTTATAAAGAATTCTTGTTTTTTCTGTATTTATTTATAACTAATACAAACAAAAATATAAGCAAAAAAATATTTTTTCTTAGAAACCTAAAAATATATAAATTAATTAGTAATTAGTAAAAAAAGAAAAAAAATTTAGTAAATGGTATAACCTTTTTTGGCTTCAATAACTTTCTGAAGGTGTCTCGGTACTGAATCCATTTAATTTTGAAGAATCTCTAAAGATATCTTCTTCCAAAGGGAAGTGACCTCAGAAATATCGTACATATCCCTCTGGATATGTTTAGGATATCGTACTAAATATTATATGAGATTTGTTCGCAAGAGTATAAACGTGTACACACTTATAAAGGATTCAGTTTGGGCCTATAAACGTATTTACGCCTATAATGGGTTGAGTTGGGATTATGTAAACGTATTCA